CAATATTTGGTAGAAAAAAGCTAAAAAGTTACGTCTAAGTGGTTGTACTAACCTGTTTTTGTCGCCTTCCGGTGCGACGGCGGCCATCTTGATGTTTGTTTACATAGCGCGCGTTTGCCATCCAAGAAGTCACGTGATTTCTTAGTGCAAGTCGCCTATTGTATATACATGCACGAAGAAGAATTCCAGTTACCTTTGATGGGAGTTCAATAGTCCAAACACATTCTTTTTTAGAAGGATACCAACTAGGGTAATTCGGTGACTGAATGGTACCGTGGGTTTTTCTGATTGGCCCACCACATCGTGCTGAAATATGACGTCATTAAAAGACCTTAAAATAATACCGACACCAAGTATATTCCCCGTAAACCTATTTTTAGACTCCGTGCTGGGGTTGTTGGGGAAATGTTTTGTCTTGAAGTCTAATGGCCATTGGGCGTTTTTTAAAATTCCCCTTTCAAAGAACGTCTATACTAACATATAAAGTATTGTATAGAACGGTCTGAACCCAGGTGAATGAATGTTAATCGAAGTATTATGATCATCCGGGTGGATGTAGTCCTGAGAAGGACTGTTTGATGTAACTGACGTTTCGACAACCTGACCGGAAGTCCTCTTCAGAGTCAAGTGAAGAATAAAGTCAGATTGGTCATATTTATACTGCCACGATAACAATAGCCTAATTACCTGGATTTGCGTAATTGGCGGCATCGGTCTAATGAGTGCGGTCTAATAAAGTCTTAAGTGTACTTACTTTCATACTTGGCTGCAAAACCAAATTCGGGTTTAATCTCAGAACTTCCGGACTTGAATTTAATCCACAGTCTACTTCCGGTTGACCATATTGTTGGTGGGAACTTCTTGCCACAATATCGACCAATCAAATTTGACTTCCGGCCATGGCCGTCCCTGATCTCCAGGAAATCGTGCTTACATCCGCGATTACTAGAGGCTTTTCTCAGGTTGAATTTTGTGAAATTCAAGACGATTCTCTCTCCAGGGGTAACCGAGATTCGCCATTCACAGTGTTTGTTTTGGGAGTATGGCTTAGGATACCCAGGGGATGTGAAGGATCCTTTGGGTTCTTGCAGCGTGCGTCCACACTCTGGAATAAAGGAAGACAAACGCAGTTAGCGCATGCATGCAGCACTCGGGGTTCGACAGGTTCAAGGCGAGTTTCCAGTGGAGTAGCTAATCAATAAAAATGACGTTTTGTTAACGTTGAGTTTATCATTATTTGCACACGACGGCAATTGTCCAAGGTTCACGGGGACTGCCTCACAGTTTGTTGGTGACGTTTGTGTATCTTTCGTGCCCTTATGGTTAAGAACCTGTGAATGTGTCATTC